CTCCGGCCACGTCCACGATCTTTGGAGAGTTTCGCTGGGTGTAATCGTGGAGGTTTCCGTCGGGGATGAGGCGATTGTCAAACATTGTGTCCGATGCTCCCGTGTCTACCAGCAGGCCTACCCCGGTGGAGCTCGCTGCGAAGTTGCGTCCTGAGATCGGGAACACGTGGCGAACATGAAGCCGCTGTCAAAGGCGTCCTCGTCCCGGGTGAAGTCGACAACTGCCACTTCATCGTTTGAGTCGTGCTTGTTGGACGCCGACGAGCAGTGAGTGCAGTTGGAGCACGCGGTGAATGCTTTACTTGAGTCCTTGGTGTCTTCCGGGCGCTTTCCTCCTTGCTGGTAGCATTCCTCGTCCGAGTGAGACGTGGTGTTGTGCTTGGAGCACCACTTGGTAGCTCCGGCGGGCTTCGTTTTCTTCTTCGCCCTGTTCTTGATCTTGGGGCAGTTCCTCCTGATGTGCCCCGGCTCGTAGCAGCTGTGGCAGATGATGTCAGACGCGGTCGTTGCCATGGCAAATCCTCGACCAGCTATGCGTCCCTTCCATCCCTTGCGCGATTGTTCGTCCAAGAAGATGTTGCGCATGGTGGATTGCATGTCCAGGACGTTGAAGGTTGGGTCTCTGAACACCATCAGTTTGACGTCCTTGTATTCGTCGGAGAAGCCCTGTACGCAGATGTCCTTGAAGCGGCGGTCGGAGATGGGTTCTCCCATCTTATCCAACTGGGTGCGAAGTAGGTGCTTCTGGTTGAAGTAGTTGTCGGGATTTTCACCAGGGTTCATGGGGTTGTTCTCCAGCTCCTCCATCTTGGCCCTGATGACCTCGTCCGTTACCCTGTCATAGTTGTTGCAGAGCTCCTCGAAGGCAGCTTGTCCGTCGCCGCTGATGCCAGTGTCGTCTTCGTGCTTCTGTATCGACAAGGCGGCTGGAGGTTCCATTAGGAGGAAAAGACTGGCGTAGAGATCTTCGTTTGCCCTTGTGTAGGAGTCGAAGGCCGCTGTGTCTGCGTGATCCGGCTTCCTTTGTTTCTTCAGCAGTGGCAGGATGTCCTTCCTGGTCACACCTAACACCACGCAGAATTTCTTCATCCATGTCTTGAACTCAGCTGGGTCCTTTCCGTCGAATTTCTTGAGGCCTTTGATCACGGTTGCCAGGTTCGTAGAACTATCGCTGGCGAACGCGCTTCCACCTCCTGTGTTGCTCGTTGCAGTATCCATTGCTCGTTCCAGCTTTATTTTCTTCGTCTTGATAAAAGTACTTCCTGCTGCAGGAGTAAGTTTGCTCGTGGTACTACTGCCTGTACCCGAGACTTCCCCACCCCGTTCCTGCTACTGATAAAGAGGACTCCGGTAGTGGTTTTCTTGTTTCCGATCCCGCTCCTACTACTGATATAGAGGACTCCGGTTGTTAATCGCCTCCACTGATGATACAGTGTAGTTCCTTGTACACCCGATGCGTATGCCGCTCGAGACTCCCGCGCACGTGACCCTTGCTGCTAGTTCACCACAGAGATACCCGCTACTGCCACAGGGGTGGTAACGTGTGTATACGACGTGAACCCTCAGCACCTTGGTGTAGATGACCAAGTTTGCGCGTCTGCTTGTGTTGCCGTTGACCGATGACGGCGTCGCAATCTCCAGAAATCTCCGAAACCAGGTTCTCTCGTTGTCCACGGATGAAGGTTGATGTCCCGAGAAGAGGTTGCCTTGATCTTCCCGTGATGTTCGCAGCTCGTAGTGTGTGCGTTAGCCGAGGCTCATAACCTGTCAGAGATATTTCGCTGTGCACTAGCAGCAGTACGATGCTGCAGATGCCAGGAGGCTGTGTAGCCTACCTCAGAGGTTCACACTCTGTGCGTCTCCAACCGCGAGAGACTTGGAATGGAAATATGAAGATGCTTTTATTAGTTGCTGACTCCCGAGTCAGATGTTGCTGGTACTGAAGAGGAGTGAGAGGAGTGGGCGAGCTTAGGGCTGCACCACTCTTCTCGAATACCGGACAAATAAGCCAATCACACGAAAGATCCAGAATGCTTCCAGAATGATTTCTGGAAGCCCTCCTACGTTCTAGAAGAGTATCAACTGCAACCTAGATCTAGAACGCTTCCAGAAGCTTACAGAAGGAACCAGAAGTTTCCAGAAAGGCTTCCAGAGGCTACAGGAGGAACCAGAAGTTTCCAGAAGGCTTCCAGAAGCTACACACGTTCTACATAGATGTCCCGGTCAACCTTGACCTAGCATGCTTCCGGAATATTTCTAGAACAAGAGAATACATGCCAAGGAGAGATGGATACTTTTCTACTGCTACGCAGACTAGTTGCTGCAATCGTATTCAAAGGTCAAACCGTGTCCGACTACTGGTGGTCTCGACCCACGGTTTTCCTGACAGTATGAGCATTGTACGAGCGTTTCATGAACGAACGTTGTATAAGCGCTTACTGGATATTTTTGAATTTTCTTTGGATATGGATATTTGGCGTCGTTGAGGGGTATTGAAATAGTTTGAAGGACGATCAATATCCCAGTCCCGCTTCCTCACTCTCCGAGTGGGCGCTGAGCGGACCTGGTCTAAGTAGGCTAAAACAAGAGATCAAACAAAAACTGTGATTGCCCGAAGCCAGGAGCAACGAACTTACTCCCTCCCGCTTTTACTTCTCTACTCCTCCATAACATTGTCGCGTCGTCTGGCATTTGGACACCGGTCCTTCCGGTCCTTCACTTCGGTGCTCATCGTTCGCGTGAAGCGTCTCGCATTTTGACCCTCTCGATTTTTTTTAGTTACCTGGTTTTAGAGAGGGCACGGTTTTGCTCTCTCTGACAAGCGTCTCGCATTTTGACCCTCTCGATTTTTTTTAGTTACCTGGTTTTAGAGAGGGCACGGTTTTGCTCTCTCTGACTCACTCGGTGGGGCACTTTTTGTTTTAACGTGTTCGTTTGCTCCGGTCGTGTGCGCGACGGGCGTTTGCTCCGGTCGCGTGCGCGACAGGCGTACAGACCCCATGCGCGTGGGCCTCCCCTTGCATGGCTTGGTGTTCACCAAGGGACGGCTTAGTGGACGTTGGCCCTTTTTTCCTTATTTGCTCGGCAAACATGCTCGCGGAGGATTGCTCTCCATCCATGAGTGCTTCGACCTTGTGCATGACGTGCCGTGCATGTTACAAAAGACATGCCCCTTTGCTCCCAAGACGACATCTTTCTGCCTGCTTTCGGGGGGGAAACCTTACGCTTCTCACGCGCTTGGTTACCCCTCCGCGTGGCGGCGACAGGCTGCTGAATGGCCGCTTTGCTGGCATGATCTGTTGCCGTCTGGTTGTAGTCTAGATTAGTGGGTTGCGCTCGTTTGCACAGTCGTTCACAGGAATCTCAGAAATCTGCGAAAATGTGCCGTTTTTGAGCATTTCGATTGGGGGCTTGTCTCCACCGATTTATGTCAGGAGGACATTGTGCCGGCACCGGTTTCGGACTATGTGATACGTCTGCTGAACCGCGGTTTTGTCAAGGCCGGTCGATCGAAGAGAAGGCCGCGAACGGCCACTTTGTCGCGCGAATGTTTTCGCTCTTCGCATTCGTCTCACAATTTTTCATTCTAGATAGACTAGTCTAGTCTAGATATTGTGCTACATCGTGCATTTGGTGTTTTCAAGAGCAGATCATGCCTTTTGCCCTCGCCGCTTTGAAGAGTATAGATGGCAACGGCCGGCGCTCTCTCCACGATTGAGCCTCGACCAGCCACTCGATCAGGGACTCGCACGCTGATGATGCTGTCTTGCCGTCCTCTTTTCCTAATGCCGATGATGCCGCTGCTGTTCTGCCGTCTGTTTTTCCCCCTGGGGACAACACACACGTGTCGCCCATGGCAACACAGGGTACATGCATGTCGGTTGACCTCGACACCACCGAAGATCCCGCCTCGATGGCGAAGCTGCAGGAAGACCTTCAGGCTGACACGGCTGTCAGCTTGGTGACGGCAGGAGAGCAGGGGAGCTCTCCTGCTGCAGGCACACCCCCGGCGTCGAGGGAGACAGATGATGTTGGTGGCACACTTTGACTCCTTCCGCTGGGGGTCAACTCGGAACACCGGGGACGAGTACTGCGGTGTCGCCTAGCGCTAGTGAGGGTACTGGCTCCGGCGGCATCCCCCGTCAGCTTGCTGCTGTCTCTCAGGAGACCGCCGTTGTGGCTGTCCCTCCACTCTCAACCGCTGAGCTCGAGGCACGTGCGTCTCGTGGAGAGAATGATCAGCAGAAAACACGCGAGCACCATGCTCGTCTTGAATAGGCAAATCGCCTTGGCAGAGGCGGCTGCGCGCGAAACAGCGGAGCGTCTGCGGAAGGCACGTGAAGAAGAGGAACGGCTGGAGGCTCAGCGTTACAGCGCTCTGTTGGCAGGAGACGCGGAGGCACAGCGTGAGCATACGGCATGGATGGCATCTGCTTCTGGGACGGCCCGTGATCTCGAAAAGCAGTTGGCACGTTTGCAAGCCGCAGAAAAATTCTCGGAACTTTCTGCGGTTGATCACGTGCCTGCTGCTGCTGATGCAGTTCCTCTTGCCGCTGCTCCTGCTGCAGCTCCTGCTGCTGCTGATTTTGCTGCGGCTTCTGCCGCCGTGGCCTCTGCTGTAGTGGTCGTGCCTGTTGGTGCTGCTGCACCTGATGCCGCTTCCGTTGCGACAGGTGTAGCTACCGTGCCGCCTGTTGCTGCCGCTGCACCTGTTGCCGCTTCTGTGGCGGCAGGTGTAGCTGACGCGTCTGCTGTTCCGAATGCTGCATCTGTTGCCGCGCCTGTTACGACTGGTGTAGATGCTGCGCCTGCTACTGCTGCTGCTGCTGCAGTAGCCTCTGCTGCTGTGGCTACGGCCGATACGACTGGCTTACAGTGATGCTGCCGCGGTTGCGACCAGCACCATACCTATTGAAGAGGGAGGCACGGAGACTCGTAGTCGGAGTACCTCCGAGATTCCTACCATCTCGGCCGGTGGACCAGTGGGACACGTCAGGGAACGGCGCAAATCTGGCACATGCTCTTCCAGCTCGTCCTCTTCGGGCACCTCTTCGTCCAGCTCGTCTTCTTCGTCTTCATCGTCTTCTGATGCAGGTGATTTCGAATCTAGTCGTCTCGACACTAGACTTCTAGGTCTCACCACAGTCCGTGTTCACCAGCATTGTTGCAACGTCAGAAGCCAAGGATGCTAGCCTTGCGCTAGTGTACCGGATCTCGGTTGATCTCGTTTCTCAGCGTCATCAAACAGTTGCAAGTCTGCTTTACAGCTCCCGTTGGTCGTCCAAGAAACGTCGGCGGCTTGAGCGGCTAGTGGTTGGTCTGCGTCGTGTGCGGGCGGCGGATGTGGACACTTCCGCGCGTTGGAGGACGGCTGTGGACACTTCTGCGCGTTCGAGGTCTGGTTCGGGGGGTCGCCGCTCTCAGACGGGGGGGCAACCTTCGGACCCTTCCGAAGTCCCACCGTTCCTCTCGTACTCACGACCGCCCGCATACACAGAAATACCTCAGGTAGGATGCAGGCCGTTCGAGAGGGCAAATGCCGGGGGGGAGAAGGCTCCTGACAGCTACGGACATGCTCCTATCTCTTATTATGGTCCGAGTGGCAGGCAAGTGCAGTATGGTATCGCAGGACAACATATGCCGTTTCTTCAGCAGCCTTGGGCTGTAGATGCGCTAGGAAATCCGTACCCGTTGCAGTCGCCGTCCATGGGTCCTGGGGGTCAACAATGGCAGATGACTATGCCTCAGGACCCGCTTCCTGTCGCCTCCGCCCGCATGTCTGATGCCGCCATGCTCTCGGTTAGTACTTTGCCCCCCCACATCGCTGAGACGTCGGTCAAAGCGACTCAACCTATCATTGCCCACCCCGAGCCTGAGTTAGAACGTGCACGACAGCTATTGCATCGCATGCCTTTGTCGAGGTTCCCCCAGCAGCGACAACCGTCGGCGACAACCGTCGGCGACGGCGTCGCCGTCGGTAGCGGCTTTTGACTTGCCGTCGTCGAAACTTCCGTTGCCGGTGTCACCGCTGTCGATGCCGACGCCGCCGGTACCGCCGCGGCAGAGGACGGTGCAGCCGATGCCGCCGCCGTCGGTGCCGCAGCCGTCGGTGCCGTTGCCGTCGGTGCCGCTGCCGCAGGTGCCGCAGCCGGCGGTACCGCTGGTGCCGCCGGTGCCGCCGGTGCCGCAGCCGCCGGTAATCCCACAACAGTCGGTGCCGTTGGTAAAGTCAGAGCTACCATCAGTAGCCTCCGCTTTGCCCTCGCATGCATCATTTGCCGCTGTGAAAACAGAGGTACCGCTACCCGCCCCCGTTATGAAAACGGAGACGACGCAGGTTCGTGGGGTGGTACCGACGCCCTCCCAACGTGT